GCTACCACACCAAGGTGGACCGCTGCCCCTCCCCCTGCCCTCTGCCTCCTTTCCCGCCTCCACCTCCCCACACCTCAGCCCTGGCAGGCAGTCTCCATGCTGCACCCTTTCAGCCTCTCCCCACCTCCCACCCCCAGCACCTGGAGGCCCATGGAAAGGGATACCACGGGAGGGCATCTCGGGATGGGGGCAGTTAGAAGCACAGCCCCTGCAGCCCCTCCCCCTGTTGGCAGAGACTTTCACCCCCTTGGAGCCCCCCTCAAGCCCCCAGGACCTCACAGCCTTCCCTACAGCCCCCTCTCTCGTGCCCCCACAGGCCCGGGCAGTCATGAACTTTGTGGTCCGCTACCGACCAGATGAGCAGCCATCTCTGCGCCCCCATCACGACTCCTCCACCTTCACTCTCAATGTCGCCCTCAACCACAAGGGCCTGGATTATGAGGTGAGTCTGCGCCCCCAGGGCCCCTCCACACATGCGGGCGCACCCACACGCATTCCCCCCTGCTGTCCTGCCCCCTTCCCCCTCCCCCCCCAGGAACCGCTCAGTCAGCCTCCCTGCCCCGGGCTCTCCTCTGGCTGCCCTCCCAGCTTCCTGGCCTCCCTTCCCTGCCTCTCCCGTCCTGGGAGCCACCTGCCCCCCAGTCCCCTGTGTGCTCACTCCCCATGTCTGTTCCCCGTCTTCTTCCAGGGAGGTGGTTGCCGCTTCTTGCGCTACGACTGCATCGTCTCGTCCCCACGGAAGGGCTGGGGGCTCCTGCACCCTGGTCGCCTCACTCACTACCACGAGGGGCTGCCCACCACGAGGGGCACTCGCTACATCATGGTGTCCTTTGTTGACCCCTGACACTCAACCACTCTGCCAGACCTGCCCTGCCGCTGTGCCTTCCTCGGGCCCCCTCCACGGAAGGGGGTCTGTCTGGCGCCTTGCTTCCTGAGCAGATGTTCCATGTGCCTGGGACTGAATGTGTCGCCTCCCATTCCCCTCCCCCCTACAACAACACATGGCCCTCTCAGGAAGCTTCTGGAGCCCCCCTCAGGCGTCCCTCCCCACCACCCTCAAGGACTCATGGGGAGAAGGAATCTGAGGGCTTTCCATATAATAAATTATTGACTCTCAGCCTCCCTCTCAATAAAGGGGGATTTGTAACCCTTGAGTCCCTATTCCTTCTTTCCCCTCCCTACTGACCCCGGATCCCTCCTGCCACCAGAGTAGAGAAGACACTTGGAGTTACTCCCAACACGAACGACAGAGAAGGGAAAAGGCAGACACAGATGATAGAGCAGTGTGCGAACCTGGAGGCTTCCCTGAGTCCCATCTCTAACCCCTTCCTTTTTTTTAACGTTTTATTTAGTTATTTTGAGAGCCCCAGAGAGAGGGCAAGTGGAGGAGAGGCACAGAGGGAGAGGGAGACAGAGAATCCCGAAGCACCTCCAGGCTCTGAGCTGTCAAAAGAGCACAACATGGGGCTCGAACCCACCAACCATGAGATCAGGACCTGAGCAGAAGTCGAACGCTTAACCGCCTGAGCCCCCTGGCACCCCAAGCCTGCCTTCTTGGTGGGTGGGGCTGGTACCCTTCTGAATGGAACAAGCATCTCCCCCCTGGACTCCCTGCAGATGGAAGTGGGCTGAGCAGGGATAGGAGAAGATACCTCCTGGCCAGGTCCCTGGAAGCTGAAGCCCTCATGACAGTGCATCAGGGGACAAGGGACCCAAATGGTGTGTCAGCCTGAGTGGCACTGAAAGCAGCTGGTTCGTTGTGTCTCCTGTGCTGACTCCCCCATCTGCTGGGCACTTGTCAGCCGTGCTGATGAGACCCAGGCCTGTCTTCCAGTTGCTTACAGCCTGGGGGAGACCTGAATCAGAAAATCACCATGAAGGAAGGAAAGGGGGACATACTTTATGCTAGAAGAACACATGATGGAGGCGCCTAATGGTGCGTGTGTCATAGTTGTCTCTAAAGAAGTGGCATTCCCAGGACTCCTACGTGGCTCAGTCAGCTAAGAGTCTGACTTCAGCTCAGGTCATGATCTCACAGCTTGTGGCTTTGAGCCCCACATGAGGCTCTGCTCACAGCTCAGAGCCTGGAATCTCCTTCAGATTCTGTGTTGCCCTCTCTCTTTGCCCCTTCTGGGCTCACGGTCTGTCTCTCTCTCTCAAAACTAAATAAACATTTTAAAATATTACTTTTAATTTATGAAGTGACATTCCCTGACCCGGAAAAGCTGGCAGTCCACAGCTCTGGCCAGTGTTGGGGGTGATAGGGGTGGGGCAAGGAGATGTGAGGCCTGGTCCCGGGCCACTCACAGGGTGTGCTTTTTGGACCTCACCAATCCTTGGCCTTCCCCCAAAACCCCTTCCTTCTGGAATGTCTCCCCTGACAGAGGCCTGAGCTACTCCTTAGGGGCCAGGCCAGGGCGACTAATGAGTTTCCTAGCTGTTCTCACTTGTGGGGGCCCCTCTGTGTGGCGAGACACACCCCTCAGGCAACACCCCAATTTCCCAGGCCTCGGTCAGCTCGGTATTCACAGCCCAAGGTCCTGACCTCCTCAAGTACAAACACCTTCCTCACCCCCAGGCTGCTGGCCGCACCCCTGGGCATCTCAGTTTGGTCCTATTGGTACAGGCCTGTGGGCTCAGGTAGTGCTCAACTCTTCGTCCTGAGGCTCCCAAGGGTACAGGGAACAGAAAAGGGAGGGGAAACAGGGGCCAGCCCAGAACCAAGGGTCAGGGCAGGTGGGCTGGACCACAAGGGACTGTACTTAAGGGCCCACAGCAGCCCCTGTGGGATCCCCCTCCATAGCTTGCCAGCCTCCTCCAGACCCTCCTCCAAGGTCTCCAAGCCATTACTGTCCTTCAGTGGAACTACTCCTTCTTGAGGCTCGGTGAGTGAGGCCCACCCCCTGGCACCCCACTTCCCTGTTTCCAGGAGGGAGTTGGGGCTGGAATCCATGGGGGCCCTTGAAGGAATGGAAGGAATTACCCGGGACAGAAGGGGCTGGAAGCGACACCACAGGGAAGAGGAGGCAGAAGGGGGTCTGAGTATCCCTGCCCCCTCCCTCCCCGCTCCATTCTGCAGCCCAGGTGTTCATGGCCGTGCTAGTCCCTGTGCTCCTCGGCTGAGCCTGGATCCTAGCCCTCCTCTACCTGGTCCGGCTCTCTGCAGACAGGGACACGCCATGGGCAGGGGGCCACCGCTCTGCCTGAGTCCCCAACTGGGCCATCTGGAGACATTTCAGAGATTACATTCCTGTCTGGCGAGAGGCACCCAGGAAGAGTGTGCTGGGCAGGACTCTTCTCTGGTCACCGCCAAAAGTCTGATCTCACTGCCAGGTGGGGTATGTTCCCTGTGCCCCCAGCTGCTGAAAACCGCAGAGTTGGATCCCTCAGGCAACTACCTCTTTGGCTTCCATCCTCACGGGGTCCTGGTCATCCGGGCCTTCAGCAACTTCTGCACAGAGGCCACGGGCTGCTCCTGGCTCTTCTGGGCCCCGGGGCTCCTGCTGATTATGCCCAGTGGCTTCCATTTCCTTTTTTTCAGGGACTACATCATGCATAGTGCTGAGAAGGGGGGAGGTCAGCCTCAGCAACCCATCCCCCCAGCCCTAGGTGGCCACCTACTTCACCCTCCTACCCTGGGTTGGGCGTCCCAGTCTACCTGCCTGGTGCCCTCCTCTACCTTTACTCAAGAACACAGGTATCAGGCTCCCAGACTCTGCCCTCGCCCCAGGTTTGGTGTCCTCTGACAAGGCTAGCGCCGCCTATCTGCAGTCCAGGCCTGGGAGTGGCCAGGTGGCTGTCATGGTCCTGGGAGGGCCCCTGGAAGCGCTGGACGCAAAAGTGGGCGCACTGATCTAGCAGAGCTGGAATCATAACGGATCAGTCAATTTGGCACCTGAACGCTGGTGAGGAAGCCGACAGTGGCCCAGTGGGCCACTGGCCGGCTGCCCTGTCCCATAGGAGTGTGGCAGGCTGCACTCCTGGAAGTGGGGAAAGGGGGTACTCAGAGTCAGGCACTCCCTTGCTCCATTTGGCCTCCCAGGCGCCTGACTCCTGTTTCGGAGAGAAGTTCTTCCTGCAGTTCCCAAACGCTCCTGGCTCTTGGCTGCAGACAGCGCTAGAGGCGCTGCGGCGAGGGTGGCCCTGCCACTGTTCCGCGGGGACCTGGGCCTCCTCCTGCCCTTCCGCACGCCCATCCACAGCCGAGGTGAGCTCCGACCTCTGCCCACTCCGAGCACACGCTCCCAGCGGAGACCAGGCACCAGGCACTCCCAGCGCCTGAAGGTGAAGGTCCCTGGTTGCTGCCGCGCATCTGACACTTCGGCCTCACCCCCGCCCCCTGCACCCCAGGTGGCCTATGGCAACCGCCTGTGCCCTGCACCCTGTCCCGGACCATCGGGCGGACGGGAAGGGGACGGGCTGAGAATCCCAGCAACCACTCCTATCACCTCCCGTTCTGCCCGCAGCGTGGGACGCCCCCACCCGCGATCCCGGTGCCCCGAAGCTCGTGGCCGAGCCCGGCGCAGGTGGACACGCGGCACGCGCTCAGGTGGAGAGGATCCCGCAGCCTTTTGAGGGAGACAAAGCTTGTCAAAGCATCTGGCCCACCGGCACCTCACCCTCACCTAGGCACGCCTCCTCGACCCTCCTGGTTCCCTCCTCGAATCTGGGCGGGGAGGGAAATTAAACGTGGGAACAGAGCTGCAGTGTGTGCGTGTTCGTGTGCAGGGTTCTCCACACTCCCGGAGACCGGCGCTCCAGGCGCTCCCTAGGAGATCGCACGGCCTCAGCGGGGCTTCTGGCCACTACCAGACCCAGTGCGCGGGCTCCACAGCTCCTTCAGAGACTCCATTCCACAATCAATGCCCCACCTCCCTAGTACACTTCCTGTCCCCTCCAACTCCGCCCAGAGCAGATCCCGACCAAAGGAACCTGGGAGTTCAAAGATCATTCTCGAGACTCTAGCGCTCCCAATCCAAGATCTCCCCATCCATTACACACGCACACAACACTCCCGCGGTCCCGCCAGGCTCCGGCGACTGGGCCCTTCTGTGAAAACCATCCATCCTGTGGTCGCCCAAACCTTCCTGGTTTGTGCTCTGGCTCCCAAGAACCCTGCTGGCAGGGGAGCTCTACTGGACAGGAGTCTCCCACAGCCCCGCAGCGCACCTCCACCATGGAAACCCGGCAGAAACAGTGGCTGGAAATAATAGGCGCCTATCAGTTGGTGCTCTCTTTCCTCTTCATGGGTGAGAGGTCTGGTGGCCTGGAGTCCCCAAGGAGAGCGGGGAGTGGGGGCTAAAAGGCTAGAGCCCCCTCTTGCAAAGGGAGCAGGAGAGGGCCAGAGGTGGCTGGGTGCACCCTCCCCATCTGTGAGCGGGGTGGAGAGTAGCGGCTGGACTGGACGACCCAGCTTCAAAACCTAAGTGGCTTCTCTTTTTTGTCTCTCACCCAGGCACCTTTTTCTCCCTTCTCCTCCTCTTCCTGCTCTTCACGCCACTCTGGTCTCTCTCTGTTCTCTACTTCGTATGGTTCTTCCTGGACTGGGACACTCCCAACCAAGGTGAGAATGCCAGGACTTGCACCCGGGGAGCAGAAAAGGTGGCCAAGCACCCCAGAATCTTCCACCCATCTCTCTGCCCCAAGGTGGAAGGCGCTTCGAGTTCATGAGGAACTGGAGTATTTGGAAACAGCTAAGGGATTACTATCCGGTCAAGGTGACAGGTCACCGTCCACAAAGACTCTCTGCCTCCTCCCTCTCCCCCACTGCCCACACTTACTCACCCCTGCCTATGCACCCCTGGGCATTCTAAACTGAAACAATGGGCCATGGGGGAGGGGGAGAGGGACAGAGTTCTGTTCCACAGTAGCTCCCACAACTGCTATTGACACAGGGATGACCTTGAACTCTGAAGTCTGTGGGGTGGAGGGCAACTCTTTTCATCTGATGTCTTGCCTTCCATGCTGCTTTCTACTCATCCTGCTCAACGTCCCTAAGCTGGTGAAAACAGCAGAGCTGCCCCCTGACCGGAAATATGTGCTGGCTGCTCACCCACATGGAATCATGAGCATGGGAGTCTTATGTAATTTCGGCTCCGAGGCCAACGACTTCTCCAAGCACTTCCCTGGGATTCGTGCTGTGATGGCAGGGCTACACATCCTCTTCTACTTCCCAGTCTATCGAGACTATGCCATGTCCTTCGGTGAGGCACCCCTCCCCCATCCCAGCCACACTGCTCCTCACCCGTGAGACATGACGACCTGGCCTGAATGTTGGCCGAGCTCACAATGGGAGCTTTGGAGTAAGCATCTTGCCCACTTGCTGGGAGAGCACAATAGGTCACCTGGGGCAGCACAGGGCACATGGTAACAGGTTGGTATATAATGGGGTGTGGGGTACACACAAAAAGTGTGGGTGAGGGGCTAGGCAGCCCAGCAGTGGATGGTGATGCTGATCACTCCCACCTCCTCATGCATGCAGGAGCATGTTCTGTGAACCAGAGGAGCCTGGACTTTGTTCTCTCTCAGCCCCCGAGTGGGCAGGCTGTGGTCATCATGGTTGGGGGCGCGCAGGAAGCCCTGTATGCAATCCCAGGGGAGCACCACCTCGTTCTGCGGAATCGCAAAGGCTTCGTACGCCTGGCACTGAGGCACGGGTAAGTGGGGTGCAGGTGCCCAGCTGGGGTGCTGCTGATGGTCAAATGAGTGCATTGCATCTGGGGGCCCACAGTCTCTGTCCCTACATGGCCAGGTCCCTGTGGCTGGGCCTCTGTGTCCCCAGAGCTGGCACTGTGCCTTGCACCTTCAGGGCTCTCATGCCAACACTTTGATTTTAATGTTTATTTCTTTTTGAGAGAGAGAGACAGAGACTGAGTGTGAATGGGGGAGGAGAGATGGAGACACAGAATCTGAAGCAGTCTCCAGGCTCTGAGCTGGCAGCACAGAGCCCGATAAAGGGCTCAATCTCACAAGTATCCACATAATGACCTGAACTGAAGTCGGAAGCTCCACACAACAAGGCTCCCAGGCGTCCCCTTTCGTGTCAGCATGTGCGGGCATTCTCTATTTCAAGCATCATTTCCACTTTCTTGTCCAGCCTTCCCTCTCTGAAAGGGGCAGGATCATAGCACGGTTAGCAGGACCTTGTGCCCAGAAGCCCTGGGTTCAAATCCCTTTGACACTACCTCAAAGACAAGACCTCAACATGTGTCTTTACTTGTGAAACAGACTCATAGCTTAACTTTGCAATGATATTATAGTTTCAACAGCTAGATAAGAAAATGTATATGGTTGAGTCTTGAACAACACAGGTTTGAAGTGCATGGGTCCCCTATACATGGATTTCTTAGAACATTGTTTTAAGTTTATTTCTTTTGAGGGAGTGAGAGCATGGGAGGGGCAAAAATAGAGGGGGACAGAGCATCTGAAGCAGGCTCTTTGCTGATAGCCTGATGCAGGGCTTGAACTCACACACCCTGAGATCATGAACTGAGCTGAAGTCGGATGCTTAACCAACAAAGCCACCCAGGAGCCCCTTAATAGCACTTTGTTTTCTCTATCTCACTGTATGGTAAAAATACAGAATAAAGAATAGATACAAATATGGGTTAATCGACTACCCCTGTTACTGGACATGCTGCTAGGAGTTAAGCTTTGCAGGAGCCGTCCGAAGGGGTCTGTCTGCACCGGGGTGGGTGTCAGGGCACCCTAACCGCCATGTGCTTCAAGGCTCTCCTGGCGATAGAGGCCCAGTAAGCAGTCATTTCTCAAGAATTGTGAGTCCCTTCTTGCAGATCTTTCATTGTCATATGCTTGAAAAGACCTTGAGAAGTGGAGGCAGGTGTGGGGAGGGGTCTGCAGTCCCATCTTGGGGTGCCCCGAGAGCCACTGGCCCCAGCACCCCTCCTCTCTCTCCCTGTCCCTGCCCAGTGCCTCCCTGGTACCCGTGTACTCCTTTGGAGAGAACGACATCTTCCATTTGAAGGTTTTTGCCCCCAACACCTGGCAATACCTGTGCCAGATGACCTTCAAGAAGCTCACAGGCTACAGTCCCTGCATCTTCTGGGGCCGCGGACTCTTCTCGGCCGACTCCTGGGGCCTGCTGCCCTTTGCCAGGCCCATCACCACCGTGGGTGAGTGCCCGTCTCCGGGGCAGGACGGCAGAGGCCCACCCACCCCGACCTCACCTGTGTCTCCCCTCTCCCTGCAGTGGGCCGCCCCATTCCGGTGCCCCAGAGCCTCCACCCCAGCGAGGAGGAGGTGGACCACTATCACACGCTCTACATGCAGGCTCTGGAGAAGCTGTTTGAGGAGCACAAGGAAAGCTGTGGGGTCCCTGTCTCGACTCACCTCACCTTTATGTAGCCATGGCCTGGCCATCTACCCCCAGCCCGGAGTCCCCCCCACCCTGGAGCCCCAGGACACTGGGACCTCCCCCTAAGGATGACTATACTGCCTCAATAAAAGCTCCTTCTCTCCCACCACTGCTTTCTAGAACTGGATGGCTGGGAGCTCACGTTGCTCCTCCGTGGGTAACCCGCCCCCATCTCACGTGTTTGGAGCTGCTGTAGTACTTTTTTCTTTTTAACATCCATTTTGAGAGAGAGAGAAAACATGTGAGCGAGCAAAGGGAAGAGAGGGAAGGGGAGACACTGAATCTGAAGCAGGCTCTCTCTAGGCACCGAGCTGTCAGCACAGAGCCTGACACGAACCCATGAACCCTGAGATCACGACCTGACTTGAAGTTTGCCTCTTAACCCACTGAACCGTCCAGACGCCCCCTCAGCTGCTGCCTCAGATTGGGGGCCAGAACCCTGAGTTCTCCTCCCAGCAAGACTCAATCCTGCTGCAGGAGCTCGCATAGGCCTCTTTCCTTTGCTGACCCCTTTCTTCCTCTGAAAATGAAGGTGTCTGCTTCACTGAGAGCTGCAGGGCCTCAGGATTGAGCTGGGGAGGGTGGCCTGTGGAGGGGGAGGCATTGCAGGGTGGGCTGTGGAAGACAGGATGCCTGGTGCAGGAGCACGGGCAACACTGAGCTCGGCCCAGGGCATCTGGCTTCATGGGGAGGGACATGATCTCCGGTTGTACGAAAGGCAGTGTTAGTTCTCAGCTCGCTTTCGCATCCTCTCCATCCTTTATGTTCCTTGTAGCTGGGAGCTGAGGGGAACCGAGGACCTATCTGACCGGCATGGAGACCGGCTGCAGGCCCAGCATTAGGCCATCAGGACCCTGTCTGCTCAACAAGCACAGAACTCTGGCGAAGATCAAAGATTTAACATTGAAGTGTCATGAGTTGGAGCCCTGTGCCCAGCTCTTCGCTGACAGCTTGGGATTCTCTCTGCTCTTTCTCAGCCCCTCCCTGGTTTGTGCAGTCTCTGTCTCTTTCAAAGTAAATAAACTTAAAAAAAAATTTAAGGGCTTAGAACTCAGATTGGCAAAATAGTGTCATCCCCATCGTGCGCATGACATCAATCCAAACAGAGGCTAAGACCGAACAGTCTAGGGGGACCTCATGTGGTCATCGTGTCCTCTAACTACATCAGTCCTATTTGCTTAATGGCGCTGCCCAGTCTGTATCCAGGGCTGAATCCAGGATGTAAGAATACCTTGTTGAAATCTCATTGGATGCAACTATACTTGCCTCCCACTGTCCTATACAGTATATTCTGGAAGAATTTTTTCTTGTTCCTGGATGAAAACCTGGGCAGTCCTGTGACTTATCTGGGTTCTTCTCAGGTGAAAACTTCATTCACTTTTAGTTGTTACATACAGGGGCACCTGTATGGCTCAGTCAGTTGAACGTCTGACTTCTTGATTTCAGCTCAGGAAATGATCTTGCAGTTTCGTGGGTTCGAGCCCCGCATTGGGCTCTGCATTAACAGACAGTAGAGGGTCTGCCTGAGACTCTCCCTCTCTCTCTGCCACTCCCCTGCTCATGCTCGCTCTGTCTCTCTCAAAATAAAAATAACTGAAAAAGTTGGTACACACACTCGTAGTTTGGTAGTATCTATACACAGATCTTTACCCAAGAGTAGGAAATTACTGCCCTTCAGCAAGGGCGGCAAGCTGGCTGCTTGCTTAGCCAGGAGGGGCAGCCCAGCCTGGCAAAGCTGAGTAGAAAGGTTGGGGCTGACCTCTTTTCCTCTCCCTCCCTCACTAGCTGCTGTGACTGATTCCTTTTCTCCAGGGGGCCTCTCACAGATTCTCAGGACCATTTGTTTCAGATTCCTCGGGGATTACCTCCTTCAGACTCAGAGGGTTTAAAACCTTTTTCATTGAAACACAACACAGACAAGTGTAGAAGTCATGAGGGCACAGCTCCAACTGTCACTGACTGAGCAGACACAGGGGTTTTCTGGAAGTTGGTGAGAGGGACGTGCAAGACCCTGGGACAGCCGCATGGACGCCTTCGTGTTTGGGTTGAGGAAAACTGTCAACCACCAGCTTTCCAACATTCTCTACCCCTGGATTTCTCTCCCGGATGGGAGCCTGCTCACCCCAGTGGAGCCAGGAGGAAACATCTGGAAGCCTTTCTGGAGAATGAAGAGCAGGCTGGAGGACGTTAGGCCCTTGCTCAGCTGTTTCGGAAGCTCCAGACCCAGACAGTGAGAACTGGGCTAGGATCTGACTTGAGCCCTGTGCCCAGTGCCCATTCACCCACCCCCTATGCAGACCCTAATGTGCTGTGGGATTCTGACCGCCACCTCTCAGGGGTGAGCTTTTCTCAGGCCCTTCTGTCAGTCCTTCCTCCTGAGCTTCAACCACGGCAGATCCTCCCCAGCTGCTTGTTTCTCTCTGGCCCTGAAAAGCCACGCTCTCTACACTGCGTGTTCAGTGAGCTCCATGTTCTGAACCACCTTGTGTCACCGGATTATCATTTCCCCAGTTACATGCTGGAAGGGCCCGAATACCTTCACCTTCTTCCTCTCTCCCCACCTTCCAGAAGCCCATTCAATTTTCCTGGCCTCCTGTGTCTTCCTGCTAAGTGGGTCTTAGCGTCTCCTTCCCCTCCGTGCCCCCCTCCCTCCATGGACTCCCACTGGGACCTCCCCTCAGCCCGCAGGGGTCTTGCCTCTTGTCTCCCATCCAACACCTTCTCCTGCTGTCAAGATGCTCTTCCTAAAATGCTGTTTTCATCACGTAATTCTCCCTATTGGATCCTCACTGCCTTTGGACCTTTGTTGTCAGAAAGTGCGAAAATCTTCAGCACAGCTTTCGAGGTTCCCCTCAAATAGAGCCCAGCCCAGCCTCCCAACCCGGCCTGACCTGGCTCTCCTTCCTGTCTGGGGAATAGATGGGGCCCCTACCATCAAGTCATAGCTCCACCCCCTGGTGTTTAGCACTTACCACGTGCGGGTATTGGCGGCTCACATACCCCCTCTGATCCTGTCGTCTGCACCACAGGGTCACACTGAGCTCTAAATGAGGTACGCATGGAAAGGGGTTAAGGTGGCACCTGGCAGGGTGGTCAACCAACATCCGCTAGTGCCACAATTCTCTTCACACAAGAGCTTCTCCTGACCACACTCCATCACAAGTATTACATTACGTGTAATTACATTGCTTTACGTTACCTTACGTTACATTACGTTATGTTACATTGCATTGTTGCAGTACGTGAGCACACTACGCCACCATCACATTAGGTGGATCGTGGTTCTGCTGTCCCAACATAGGGGTCGTTCTTGATCTTTCATCTCATGGTACTGAATGCTAATGTTAAGGGCAGGACGTGTGTCTTGTTCGTTTTTGTGTTTTGAGCATGTTACGGTGATCCCCATGCCTTGCGGCTGAGGAATGCTAAATACATGAAGTGACCTAGTCTAGGACACCTGATGTAGAAGGACACAGCTACCTGCTTGCAGGTTGCATCCAGCACCAGGAAGCCCAGTGTAGTAGGGAGGGAGGGCTCCAAGGTCCCTTCAAGAGCCAGAGGGGGTCAGTGCATGGATCATGGGAAGGAAGGGAGCTATACTGCTTTTGTGGGGCTGCTGTAACACCGTACCACTCGCTTGGTGATTAGAAACAACAAGTTCATTGTCTCACTGCTCCAGAGGGCAATACAAGTGTGAGCTGGGTCTGATCCCTCTGACACTGGTAGAGGAGAAACCCTCCCTCCTCTCTTCCAGCCCCTGGTGGTGTATCAACCCTCGGCTGCTGCTACATCATCCCACCTCCACCTCTGTTGTCACAAGGACTTCCCCCTCTGAATCTTGTCCAAAGTTCCCCTCCTTATAGATCACCAGTCATACTTGAAAACGGCCTACCCTTCAGATGACCTCAGCTTAATATGGTAATGTCTACAAAGAACCTATTTTCAAATAAGGTCTCTTTCATGGGTAGGAGGGGTTAGGACTTCCATATATCTTTGTGAGGCAGGGGGACACAATTCAACCCACAACACATGCCTTTTAAAATTCACAGAAGGATGCCTTGGAAGCTCAGGCGGATGGACGTCCAACTCGATCTTAGTGGGCGTCTTGATCTCAGGGTCGTGAATTCAAGGCCTGCATTGGACTCTAGGTTGGGTGTGGAGTATACTTTAAAAAAAAATCACCTAAAACTCCTCTGTTATTGTGCCTGAGGATTGCACCACCCAGAGGTGGTCTCTTGTGCTAATTATGTTCAGGGCAAATGATGAACATTCGCTATGGGATCTTTCCTTGGGGACGAGTGCAGGTCAGGTGCTCAGAGGAACATGGATCACTAGACTGTCCTGAAGGGTCTATTCTGTTTTCAACCTTACTGAGCTCCCCTGTGCCATTCCTCCTCCCCTGTAGCTGCATAATAAACCCCAACACTGTGGTTTCTCCTTCTGATCTGGAAGAGACTAACTTGGAAATGTATGACCCCAAGAAACCTTATGAATTGAGCTTTCGCCCTGGTCTCAGGGCTTTTTCCTTCCATGACATCCTCCATGTGACCACCAGAGGACTATCTTACTCACAAGGCAAATGTGTCATTCTGGCTTAAGATCCTCTCCCTCCCCTTCCTATCTCCCCCCACCCCTGGCTGTTGGCCAGCCCCCCTCTTGGGGTGGATACAACCCAGAACTGCTGTTCTTGTGAAATAAGCTGCTGCTTGCCTCTGGGCTTTGCTTGGCTATCTCCTCTTGCTGGCAGGACTTTGTCCTTTATCCACTGGAGGAGACTATTTACAACTCAGTTCGTCCCTCTCCTAGGACACCTCCCTTAACTTCCCAGCCTGCCAGGCAGGTTCAGCACACCCCACCTCTGCATCCCCATAGCTCTTTCTAAGAATCCATTGTGACCCTTCTGTGTCACTGTAAAGCACCAATGTATCCAAACAGCGGATACCCTGAAACATCAGGAAGGGACAGTAACTGTATCCCATTAAACGTGTTTAAAAGTCCATGAGGTCATAGTGGTTCTAAAAAGAAGAGTTGATCACCACTGAAAGGTGCTAATGCATCAATTTGTTCTTTTGAAAATTAACCAAGAAAATGAAACCTTGTAAGCAT